CCCCAAAACCCCAAAACCCCAAAACCCCAAAACCCCGTAAGAAAGGGTTAAAATAGAAGAATTGTTATAAATAATAGATATGAAATCGAATTTGATAGTAATCTTAATGCTTTGGGCATTTATGGGGTAAGTAAGAGAGAAATCTAGTTTATTAAAATTTTGCTTGCTTGTTATTAAAATTTTTGAATTGCTCTTTTATTCAAAATCTTGATAAATAAATTTGCAATCGCACTTCAGTCCTTTATGTAAAGAATTAGATGGCTGATATTATCTCATTCATAGTCTCCAATTTTGTATCCCTACTTAATAATAATACTGATAACCTTATTATTAAGCTTGTAAATTATTCATACAATAATGATCCCACTTTTTAAAAATATCCGTTTTGCCGAGCCAGAATGATTTACTAACACCAGTTTGGAATTATAATTTAGGTTTTTTCCTTAACTTACTTCTCTTTAGCACTACTTCGGCATCCTGGTTCCCTATCGATTCCTCCACTTGGATAGATATAACTCTTGATCAACCCAACAACAGACTTGTTTACAACGCTAGCGTGAGTCATGGTCATTTCTTTGGAACAGGAGTTCAGAACTCTTTTACTGATGCAGATATTTACGGAATCCAATGCGCCACAGATAACGAAGATCTTGTCAGATTTTCCAATTTCGATGTGTTCTTATCTCAGAATGGAGAAGCTCAAAACTATACTCAACCAGGCTATGAGGGAGTAAAGCATATCATTTCTGAAAAAACTTGCTCTTCATCCTTTACTAGACCCCTGAGTTTGGTAAGAGATGGAAGAAATCAGACTCTGGAGTATAATAGATACTACAACATGACATACGTATATGATGAGCAATATTATGAAGAAAAAGGATTTGAAAACAGAGGATTCTTTTACATGATAATTGATAAGAGAACTGGAGGAGTCATGATCTACGAGCAACTCCCACATGAAGAACTCATAGAAATTGAGGAAATAAGTGCATAGTGGCTCAAGTTCTTTCTTTTACAAGATTTACAGATACTTTTGTGCACCTTTCCATCCCTTATCCAAAGCTAAGCTCTTGCTTGCTCATTTTTGAATTATTTTAGTCAGTATTAGGGAGAAGTCAGAATAGGTTGGAATCTTTAAAAAAATTGGATAAGTTCAAGTGGCATTTCAATTCTGTTACTCACAAATGGGGTTTTGGGGTTTTGGGGTTTTGGGGTTTTGGGG